TTTTTTTTGCATTGCAAAATAGTGAGTCCGAATTTGCATAAAGGCCATTCTTGGCAAGTTTGGGTATCGAATATTGGCAGGAACAAGCTGAAAGATAACATCTGGTATTTTTTTCCAATATCTAGATACCCATACAATTTTTGAAAATTACTACAACCATACCAGCTTTTAGGTTAATCAAAATATTGACAGTTTTCTAAAGCCTCATAATTTTGCTTTGGTAGGCATAATGTAAAGCGATTTGCTGTAATTCCTTGAAGGTCATTTCCGTTCACAATTGATCAATCGGCAGTAGAAGTTGGCTGAAGCCAACCGAAAGAAATTCGAGAGAAAAAAGGAGATTTTTTCCGTGCTTTTGTGAGGGATTTGACCATTTAGAGCTAAGGAGGATTAAGAAAACATTGTATGCGTCTTCAATAAACTTTATCAGTTGTAGCCCTTTGAATAGAAAACATATTTATTTTATTCAATGGTTGATAGATGCGTATGATTACACGGCTAAAACTTTGGTCCCATCTGTATTTGCGCAGGCCAAGCTTGTGGTTTCTGCAGTCTTTTGAGGCAGATGAGCAAAGTTAACTGTAGATAAAAGCCAGAAATCAGTTAGTGCCAATAGTATTTGCTATGCTTTTGATTGTGATTGCTTCCAGCTTTTTCGTCATTATTCAGGCACAGTCTCTGAGCTGTAGCACTGCGACTTCGCGTGAGTAGAAATTTTTCAAACTTAAAGAGAGTACCAATGTATCAAATTTGCAGCTGCTTTAAATAATATTTGCCCAAGCGGATATACGATGGTATCCAGCGCATGCTGCCCCAACGCCAACCTTGTCAGTAAGTAATTTTAAGTATCTTGAAATATGTCAACATATATTCGTAGCCTTCCTTCAGCTGCCACTACCGCTGCTTCTATCAAGTGTGTTGACAAGGTATAATGTGATAATGGAAAAATAGGGTGTCGACAACTCCCGTTTTAGGTAAACACTCAAACGCTAAAATCTGATTGTCCTGGAATGAAGAGCTACTGCAATAATTCTGCCTACAAAACGCTAATGGCGGAGCAATGCCCTCTCACCTGTGGACTATGCAGTAGCAATGGTAGTTTTTAATTATTGAGGTAATAGAGAGCATTCAAGTCAAACATATACTAAAAAAGTACAATAGGACTGCTGTTCGCCTTTCAAGAAGAAGCTAAATTTTCAGAATAACACTACAAAAATGGAGAAAAAAAA